TGGTGTTCTGTATGTGGTGTTCTGAGCTGCCAACTAAAGGGATGAGTACAGACGCCAGATATTTGGAAACATTGTAAGTGACAGAGTTAATCATGCTAACAATAGGTCTTAAAGGTACACCTTGTTTGTGGATTTTAGGTAAACCATACAGACTAGGTGTGGCCTCCCCTGGGTACAGTCTGTGGTACAGAAAACGGTCAATAGCCTTGTCCTGCTCCAAAATTTTTCAGGCAATCTATTAACTTCTTCTTGTAACCACTTCCTGGATCTCTTTTCAGAGGTTCATAAGTGTTTAAGTCACTAAGGAGTGTCATAACTTTCTCATGATAGTCTTTCTGGTTCAAAATCACTGTGCACCTTCCTTTGTCTGCTGGGAGAATGATGATGTTTTTGTCCTTGCTAAGAGTGGTGAGTGCATCCCTCTCCTCTCTACTGATGTTGGAAGGTGGTGGTTTGGCATTGCTGAGGCAGGATGAAACTTTGATTCTGAGCTGTTCTGCTTCACCCCCTTTCATTTTGTTGTTGCGGATGGCTGACTCAGTGGCTGTGATCATCTATACTTGTCGTTGTTACTCACTGTTGTCATGACTCTTTGTTAAGAAATCAGGTATGTTTTTTAAATGAATCCCAGAGGCTCAGTGGTAGTAACCTGTCTAAGTAAAATCAGAGTCAGAGTTTCTTTATTGTCATTCGCACCTCATGTGGTACATGTGGTGGAGCGAAATTATGTCCACAAGGTCCCAGTTACATCCAACAATAAAATGTCTAAGAAAAACAGTGATAACATCTAAGATATGAACTAAGAAAAACATCAACTAAATATACACTAAGCACTCATAACATAAAACATTGAACATCAGCACAAACATGAACATGAGTCTGTGAGCAGATGTGCAGCATGAACACATCAACATTGAAACAGATCAGCAGCAACATGAAACAGATCAGCAGCAACATGATGTGATTTTTCACAGTGATTCTCCTGGTTAGAGATTCATGAGTCTAACAGCCTCAGGGTAGAAGCTGTTCCTCAGTCTAGTGGTTCTACACTTAATGCTCCTCAACCTCCTTCCTGAGGGGAGTGGGGCAAAAAGTGTGTGTGCTGGGTGAGTGTGGTCCTTCATGATGCAGGTGGCCCTCTTCCTGCATCTGGAGGTGTAGATGTCTGTGATGGTGGGGAGGCTGACTCAGACAGACTTCTGTGCAGCCTTCACCACTCTAAAGGTTGAATGAATGAAAAATTTATATAAAAGAAGTGTTATAAAACAAATCAAGGTACCATATAAAACAAGGTAAAATACAAAAAAATGCTAAAAACCAAGAACATTTTTGCTTTGATGTTTCTATTGACATTAAATGTTTAAAATACCCTAAAGAAATGAAGGTGGACAGTTTCAGCTCCTCTTGCAAGATGTTCCAGGTGCAGGAGCTGAGCAGGAAAAGGCCTTTTTGTCAAGTTCAGTCCACACTGAGGGAAAGCTGCAGGTAATTATGGACTGAGAGTGCACGCTGTAACTGCACTGACAACGTGACATGTGGGAGGAGATATATGAAGGTAGAAGACCAAGGAGGGATTAATAGATGAAGGTGAACTAGTGTGAGAGTCTGTGTGTAGATGATGATGACCAACTGACCAAAGAGTACAGAGTGCAGTGATTGGTATGGTAGTTCGAACCAGTTATGAATCTTACCGCGCCATGCTAGACAACATTGGACCTTTTACTGAGTTGAGTTTTTAATCTGATGTTGATGGTTTCATGCCATTCTGGAAATGATCTAACATTAACACTTAACAAGATGACCACACACATTTTCATCTTGTTAAAGTAGACCACATTCTTGCTAGCCATTTCAGTGTTTTGCTTCAGTGGCTGTTACAACTTGGCCTTTGAGTTTGTTTCTGGTCCTGTTTAGGTTTTAGATTCACAGAAATTGTTCTGTACCACTTGTTCTAGGTTCTTAAAGCGGAAACTGCTCAGCAGTGTTGCTGAAAACAGGTGTTTCATCTTACTGTTGCAAATCAAAACTTGTTCTGAAATGTTTCATGAATAGATTTGTAGTGAGCTAAGGCGTTAACTTCACTACTAGCAGTTCCTGTCCCCTGAAGGTCTTCAGAGACAGATTGCTGTTGGAGGCCTAGTTCACTACAGTTTCATTCAACCTTTATTTATACATTTATTGAGCCTCGGGATGAATGATGCTTTGAGATTTTGTTTAATGTGGACATCATGGCATGCTGCTGTTGTCATGGTAACAACTTAATGTGATTTTCCTGTGTTTAGGTAGGAGCGGCCTGGCCGAGACGTCTTCAGCTGTGCTGTCCACGGTGCCTCGGAGGAGAACCAGTAAGGTTACAAGGGTTCAGGCATGTTGAAGTGGGGTTCTGTGTTTAGGATGAACACTTGGCTGACAGCTCGCAGCAGCCAAAAAGGGGGGCCCTTTGCATGCTGCCTGAAGGAGAGGACCCCCCCCCCCCCCGAAGGCTGCCTAGAGTAGAGGAGCTCTCTGATTGGCTGTGTGTTGGTGGTGCTCTCTGATTAGCTCAGGGTATAGTTTACTTTAAGTGTCTAAACTGAGCCCTGATTTAATTTAATTTCAGGGTCACATCAGCCACATCATGGGTCACTGAATGCAGCAGGAAGAACAGGAGGCGTCACCAGGATCAACCTGACATCATGTGAACATCATGGATGATCCAATTACATGTCAGTCACCGAAAGGGCCAATCAGGATCCTTTCTGTTGCAGCAGGTTGTTTGTAGAATTTTTATTGGATCCTTATTTCTCCATACTCAAAGCTGGAATTATTCCAGTTTAAAGAAAACCATCAAATCATCTAAACCACGCCCACCTGACTTCTGATTGGCTCACCTGTTCCAGTCAGGTGTGACCGGTTAACTCTGGTCTGACCTCTACACAACGTGTTCACTGTCTCATTTTGCAAAGGGCTAATGCACAGTTTGACATATGGGTATTTATTCCCTTACTTGGGGCTTTCAGGATTAATTATAAACAGTAAAGTTCTTCTTTTGTGGTGTTAAAGAAATCCAGTTTATGCCTGCCACGTGACTGAGTTGTTTAAAAGCACTGAAACAGTTAATGAAGGATTAATGAGGGACAGGATTAATTTTAAGTAAAGCCAGAAGTGCTGTTTACAATATGTCTTCCTGTTTATACATTTCTATTTTCAACAAGCAAATTTTGATATTTTTACTTTTTATTTGACTGAAAGGGAAAACTACTTTGTGCTGACATAAGTTCCTACTCCAAGCTGACCCATCAGAGGCAGCATTTGTACTGTAGACTGATTTCAAAATAAAATATTTTACTTTTAAGTGTTTACCAGGGCTTCAAATTGCTTCTAAATCCTTTTCCAAAATATTTCAACAACAGCTGTGAAGAAAACTACAGTTCCCATGAGTTCCCACTCTGCAGAGGGTGGGGCGTAGGAGGAGGAGCTGATGGGGGGGGGGGGGGGGGGGGGGGGGGATGTGGGAAAGAATGTGAAGAATTCATTTCCTGTTGAGCAGCTCTCCCAGTGAAGGAAGAGACAAGAAGTCATGGCCAAGGGTAAAGCTCTCCTCAGGAGCATAACAGAGCAGTACTGATTGTTACTTCTCCTGTTGGATCACTGCCTCTCCAGAAGGAGGAGGCGCAGCATGGCTGAACCTCTGCTGAGGAGAACTTTCTCCAGGCTGAGAGGCAAAAACAGAAGCTGCAAGAAAAACGAATCTAAAGAGAGTGGTGAGTTTTCTAACAGTCTGTAAACACATCACGTTTATCAGAACCTTCATTCAGAGAGTTCTTACAAGCATAATGTGTGTTCTTAGGCTTTAGAGCTTCTCAATGCAGCATGTGGTCCTTGTTTTAGTTTCTAAATGCATCACAATTGTCCTTAGGTTTTATAGTTCTTAAAGGCATCACGTGTGCCCTTAGTTTGTAGAGCTTCTAAATCAATAATGTTTGTCCTTAGGTTTTAGAGCTTCCAAATGCATGTGGTGTGTCCTTAGGTTTTAGAGTTCTTAAAGGCATCATGTGTGCCCATGTTTTAGCTTCTAAATGCATCATGTGTCCTTAGGTTTTAGAGTTTCTAAATCTATAATGTTTGTCCTTAGGCTTTAGACTTAAAGGCATCATGTGTGCCCTTAAGTTTTAGTTTCTAAATGCATCATGAGTGTTCTTAGGTTTTAGAGTTCTTGAAGGCATAATGTGTGTTCTTAGGTTGTAGAGCTTCTTAGTGCGTTGTTTTTTAATTTTTTTATTCAACCTTTATTTATACAGGTTAATCCCATTGAGCCTCGGGGACTCGTTTACAAGAGAGACCTGATTTTAACAAAGAAAGATGACAACAGTGGGCACCAAAGACAACAATAGACAATCATAAAGTATGCATACAAATTGAGAATAACAAGTGAAAATCAAATGGTATTTAAAAGAAAATGTAACAAAAAACAGCTAGGTTGTCGAGCAGTGTAGAAAACTAAAAACAAGAACATGTCTGCATTGGTTTGTAGTGTGTCCTTGGGTTTTAGAGCTCCTAAAGGCATCACATGTATCTTAGGTTTTATAGTTTCTAAATGCAAGCTGTGTCCTTAGGTTTTAGAGTTCTTAAAGGCATCATGTGTGCAATTAGGTTTTAGAGCTTATAAATGCATAGGGTGTTCTTAGGTTTTAGAGCTTCTAAATTCACATGGTATGTCCTTGGGTTTTAGAGTTCTTAAAGAAATCGTGTGTTCTTAGGTTTTACAGCTTCTGAATGCATCACGTGTCCTTAGGTTTTAGAGTTATTAAAGGCTTAATGTGTGTTCTTGGATTTTAGAGCTTTTAAATGCATCACACATGTCCTCAGGTTTTAGAGTTCTTAAAGGTATGATGTGTGCCCTTAAGTTTTAAAGTTTCTAAATGCATCACATGTGCCCTTAGGTTTTAGAGCTTCTAAATGCATCACAAGCGTCCTTAGGTTTTGGAGTTCTTGAAGGCATAATGTGTGTTCTTAAGTTATAGAGCTTTTTAGTGCATGTGGTTTGCCCTTGGGTTTTAGGGTTCCTAAATGCATCGCGTGTCCTTGGAATTTAGAGTTAATTAACATATCAAGTGTGTCCTTCGGTTTTAGAGTTCCTTAATCTAAAGGCATCACGTGTGTCCTTAGATTTTAAATTTGCTAAACGCATCACATTTGTCGTTTGGTTTTTGAGTTCCTAAAGGGATCATGTGTGTCCTTAGGTTTTAGAGTTCTTAAAGACATCACGTGTACTCACGTTATAGAGTTTTTAAAGGCATCACATGTGTCCTCTGGTTTTAGACTTCCTAAAGGCATCAGATGTCCTCAGGTTTTAAAGTTTCTAAAGGCATCACATTTGTCCTCAGGTTTTATGATTCCTAAACACATCCTGTGTGTCCTTTATGTTTTAGAGTTCCTAAATGCATCACCTGTGTCCATAGGTTTTAGGGTTCCTAAATGCATAATTTGTTTCCACAGGTTTTAGATTTCTTAAAGGCATCACATATGACCTTAGATTTTAGAGTTCCTAAAAGCATTAATTTTGCCTTTAGGTTTTGGAGTTCCTAAACAAATAACATCCTTAGGTTGTAGAGTTCCTAAAGGCATCACATATGTCCTTGGGTTTTAGAGCTTCTAAAGGCATGTGGTGTGTCCTCAGGTTTTAGAATTCTTAAAGGCATCACGTATGTCCCTAGGTTTTAGGATTCCTAAATGCATCCTGTGTGTCCTTATGTTTTAGAGTTCCTAAATGCATTCCTTTTTCCCTTAGGTTTTAGAGGTGATAAAAAACACACACACATGATGGACACTGACACACACACACATACATGATGGACTCTGACACACACACACATACATGATGGACTCTGACACACACATACATCAGGTCTCTCTTGTAAACGAGTCCTCGAGGCTCAATGGGATTTACCTGTCTAAATAAAGGTTGAATGAACACATACATGATGGACACTGACACACACACACTTGATGGACACTGACACACACACACACACACACATGATGGACTCTGACACACACACACACTTGATGGACACTGACACACACACACACACACACACACACATGATGGACACTGACACACACACACACTTGATGGACACTGACACACACACACACACACACATGATGGACTCTGACACACACACACACTTGATGGACACTGACACACACACACACACACACACACACATGATGGAC